GGGGGGGGGGGGACAGGTTCCAAAATAATACAAGGCCAAGTAATCTATGGATCAGAGCACACATGAAGGACTTTCAAAGATATAAAACAAGTATCCCACGATATACTCTAAGACCAGTGGAGGATGTTTCTGCAATTTCTAGCCATGCGGATATATTCAATTAAAATGAATGTTTAGGGCAAAGGAATGTCCTAGGTCTAAAGTGCAAAAGAGTTATTTTTTGGCTGTAATCTTAACAACAATAATGGATGCTCACAGAATTCCCTACAAAGAACACTTCTGATAGATAAAAGATTTATTTCAGGAATACTGCTAGGAGTCTACAGAGGCAGTTTAGTGTTGTCAAAGAGCAATACCTGAACATCCACTTGCATGGTCTTGGTTAATGGTATGTGCACAATCTTCAACCCAAAATAATGGGCTGCTTTGTCGAATGCAGCATGAACACTCTTTGGAACCAACCTGAAAACAAATTCAGTACTTCAACCTTGGGAATGACTGCTGTTTAGTCTGAGCAAAATTCACAAAGCAGGATTTTCTATCCCTTACCCCTTAAAGAGAGAGGGTAGTCAGCCCACTGACAAATTTTGCCAATTGGAAAATACAAAGACAATAAGTATTTTGGGCATGTGTCTCCTTGGACTCTAGACACATCTTATGCTAAAAGATGTACTAAAATAATATATAGTATTGCAAATATTTAAAACTTTACAAGGTATAATCAATGTTTTATACCACTAAATAGACCTGTTAATGCGTTAGAAAACACATTATGTCCCACACTGCTTTAAAGACATTGCTTCTCACCTAAAATGAAAACTTCCTTCTAACAACTGAAAATTGTGCAGCATCAAAATTGTCTGTCTTGCTTAGAAAGAACACATCAAAACAGATCCCCACTCCTTTGTAAACACATTAAAGAAAAGTAACCGGCAATCTATTTTTTTGTCCAATAGATGGCAGTGGTTAGAACTTCAAAAGAAATTAATTCAGAGACTTGTATTTCTGAGACTTCAATGTTTTAGCATGTTGTTCGACAATCTACAGGAATGTTAGCCAGGAAGAGCGAAAGATACATATGTGGAACAAGATGAAGTAACAGTGTTCTTATCCCCATGCTCAATGTTTTCCCCTTAATTTATCCAAAAAGAGCAGGTTTTGACTACTTGATTCTATAAAGAGCAACCACAGTAGAAAGATTAAATCAATGTAGTTTTGTCACATAGCAGTCAGTAATTGAATCTTTCCAAATTCCATTTCAAATCAGACAAATTTAGTGCGGTGGTTTTAGATGATTACTACCCGCTTGGTGACTGCAAGACCACTTCCAAGAAATGAGCCATGTCCACCTGCCCTCGCTCTACATGAGCCACTCACTGAAATGTATTGTGTAGCTTAATTTTCACGCATGTCCACAGAGGCTCTCAAATCTGGTCTTAGGTATGCTTCTGAGAGCACACCCAGCACCACTCTAATGGCAACTTCACATGTATTTTCAGCAGGTGGCATGTGCAGAGGAAGAACAACTGGGCAGGGAGTGGTCAATCTCAGGATTACCATGGAGGAGGCATAGGCATACCCTTACCCTAATACTCAGAGCAGTCCTATACACTTTGAAATGGCTAGCAGATTGCTAAGGAGAGGCCTAAGGATGAAAAGATTTGGCTACCATAGGCCAAGAATTAAGTACTAGGCAAAAGTTTTTTAGGGGATGGAAGTGAATACAATTCAGCCATCCCTAAATTTAAGCCCAAATATAACTACATTCCTATATCCCACAAATAAGATAGTCATACAATTAAATCCAAAATGACAACCTCTAAACAGTTTGGCTAATGTCATCTTGCTTTGCTTAAAGCATGCTCTCTTTTGTTATTTTTCTTTATAAATCAGTTTGGGGCTCTGTCCTGCATTTGGTCTGTAAGAATTTGACAGGTGGGTGGGGACTGCAAAGGAAAACAAAGAAGAAACACTCCAGTGCAGCACTGGCTCAGCCCAGTGCAACTGCCATTGTTTTTTGGGGAAAAAAATAAACACACAAATCTATGAAAGCAGAAATCTGGGAGAGGGAGTTGCATACATTTCTGGGTGTTTGATTCCTCTCTCATAAGCCAGGTCCCTGTAGGCTTTACAGGCCATCAAAATGCTCTCGGTCCCACCAGAGGTCATCTATGGTGAAAAGAAACAAAGCACTTAAATTAAAGTACTTCTTCAGAAGAGGCAGACAAGATGTTAACACTTCATTACAAACTATGTCCCATACAATTTGAGGCTATACCTTCATACAAAGGCTCAAATCTACAACCTGAAAAGAAAACTACAAAAAAGATTAGGGTAACTTTCTAGCAGTCAAAGGACATTGCAACCAAAAACATTTATCTAAGCAAAAGTTGGTTTCAGTATGCAGATAGTTAACAGAAAATAAGCTGCTTTGTTACAAGCTGGCAGGGAGGGTTTCAATACACTTGAGACAATAAAAAAGGAAAGAGTACCTGAACTGTGATTTTTGCCAGCTTGTTGTAACAAAAAAAGCTTATTACTGCAAACCACAGTAAAAGGTTTACAAATAAAAGACACTCTAGAAAGGAAATACAAAGAAAATAAAAAGAAGCTGCATGCAACAGAAGTTGTTTGGTTAACCTGGCATAGAGATGGACAGGTTGGAAAGAGAGAAAAAACCCTAGACAAAGCTAGGAAGACAATGCTTCAGGGCCATTTGACAGAAGAACAGCTGACTGCTCACGTTCACCTCAGTATAGTAACCTTGAAGGTTTGTTATCTGGACCAGATGTACATGGTGAAGGTAAAGGGAGGGGAAAAAAGGAGGGTAATCACTCTAGGGCA